TTTGGAAAAAAACTTCCTCCACATCAGCACTTTTCGAATGCTCAATTTTCCATGTCATCCACAAATCTCTCTCTTCTTTTTCCTTGCTCTCACAATCCTCCTCAATATATGGTAGAGTTTCAGTTTATTTTCTCATTTCAAATTTTATGTACTCTCTTTAATTTTAGCTATTTTATTACTAAAAAATGTATTTTTTGTTTAAACATTTTTATTCTTTTCATTCTCTACCAGAGAGAACCATGAGCATGATGACATTGTTGTGAGTGTAAGTTTGGTTTGTTCCAATTATACTAAAATAAATATCATATGTAGATAATAATTATTTTAATTTTTTGGGCTCATAATTGGTGAATTACTTACTTAGCCCAAGATCATAGTCAAACTATTGAAACAAAGACATTGGAGATGTTCATTTTGATTTTTTTGAAATTAACTATTGGTAGATGTTGGTTTTTTTTTTCTTCACACGTTATTGATCGAACTATCCATTAGTTCTCAAAACACTTTCTTTTTTCATTGGTCTTTTTTTTTTTGGTTTCATATTGGCTTTATTAAGACTTGTAATATCTTTTTTATTTTGGGTGAAAAATAAGGGTAATATCTTATTTTGGCCCGAACTATGATCATATAATCAACTTTGACACGTGGTTTCAGAAATTAACATCTTAGCCTCAATTATGCAGCATATAGACTAAATTGGCCCGACACATGCTTTGACCGTCAATTAGGAAGGTCAACATCATTGACTTTAGTCAACACGCTATGTCATTGCCTAGTCAGCCTAAAAATCATTAAAAATTGAAATTCAAATTATTATCCGAGAAGACACTGCACTACACCGATCTATGCAAACTTGCAAAGGAGTGTATCAAATAGAGTACGTCTCTCATTTACAAATATTTCTTTTCTATGTTGAAACTTCATTTTTTTATTTTTCTTTTTGGATCATGGATATCACATTATTATTATTATTATTATTATTATTATTATTATATTAAAGGAGAGCTTTGGGTTGTGTAACTAAGAAATAATGCATATCACAACCCATTTTTATTTTTGTTATTATCATACAAAAAAACTCATTTTTATTATACTTTTGAGGTTTGTGATGTGACACTAATAATAATTTATTTTTTATTTATTTTTTCACTAACAAATCATTTTTGATTTTCTTTTTATTGAACCCAAACTCATGGTATCCAACGTAATTTGACCCGAACAACGCGAGTTGAACCTGTTATTAACGAGTTTCGGATAAGAAGTGAGTTTTACCTGTTTTTATCAAATAAGTTGTTGGAGAGCTTTGACAACCAACGAGGGGGAGCTAGGAGAGAGAGGAGGAAACACTCTATCTGTATAATCAAGTTGCCTGAGTTGAATCATGTTGTTGAAATGGCTTTAAAGAACATCGAAGATAATATATATAATCCACTGCTATTAAGAGCAATAAATGTATCATTTCATTTGTACATATAAAAAAATTCTATCTGAAATGATATGTTTGATTCGACAGTAGAATATGTTTTTTAATCCAATTTCTTTTATTACACAGGTTGGAGATAAAGAAACATATAACCTATTTTGAGAACTGGAAAGTTCGATGTGAATGTTGTCGATGTCCGAGAAGACACTACACTACACCGATCTATGCAAACTTGCACTAATCTATTTGTGTAACTAAGAAATAATGCATATCACAACCCATTTTTTATTTTTATTATTATCATACATAAAAACTCATTTTTTTTATTATACTTTTGAGGTTTGTGATGTGACACTAATAATATTTTATTTTTTATTTATTTTTTCACTAACAAAAAAATTTTATTTTCTTTTTCTTTTTATTGAACCCAAACTCATGGTGTCCAACCTAATTTGACCCGAACAACGCGAGTTGAACTCGTTATTGACGAGTTTGGTTTAAAAGTGAGTTTTACCTGCATTTATCAAATAAGTTGTTGCAAAGCTTGTACAATCAACGAGAGCGAGTTGGGAGAGAGGAGGAGAGCCGCTACAGAAGTTCAAAAACAAGTTAAAGAAGCTGAAATACATGTCCCAATAGATGACATTGTTAGAGTTGTGGAGCGTACTGAGAGTACCGAAGGCGAGGATCAGCCGAGTACCAAACAAGAGTCTAAAACAGACCATCCTCCTGACCGTTTTGAATATCGATTTGGCTATATTTACGGTGACCACTATGTCAACGAGAAGGATATAGAAACTTATTGGTATTCAAAACGGTCATTGACATAACAAGAGTCTGAAACAGACAGTCTTCATGTCCTGCTATTTGTCCTCATCCTTCTTCTTTTCCTTCAACGAGAAGGATATAGAAACAACATTGACATAACGACCACCATATATATGACCGAATCTGTATTCAAAACGGTCAGTAGAACTTTCTGTTTCAGACTCTTGTTTGGTACTCGGCTGATCCTCGCCTTCGGTACTCTCAGTACGCTCCACAACTCTAACAATGCCATCTATTGGGACATGTATTTCAGTTCCTTTAACTTGTTTTTGAACTTCTGTGGCGGCTCGGGTCGGATTTGGAAATGTGAAGATGCAATGAGGAACCTCCTCCTTGTTCTCTATACCATCCGGCTCCTTGTTTCTCGTTCTTGAGTGGACGATGATGATTCTGGTCCTTGTTGTTTTTCTTGGTTCGAAGAACCTGGTCTTTGTTGTTTTTCATTGGTCGAAGAACCTGGTTCTTGTTGTTTTTCTCAAATGGAGTACATCTCTCATTTTATAAGTCTTTCTCTTTTATCTTTCTTTTAGAATCTTGGATATTATATTATTATTGTTATTTTTATTATTTTGAGGTTTGTGTTGTGACATTAATAAATAGTGCACATCACAAATAATTTATTTTTATATTTTATTTATCACATCTATCATCTCCGAAATTGTTTCATGTCGATGTTTGGTATATTGGTGGATTAAATAGAGATTAAGACTTCATATACTTCACAATACTAGTTGAGAGAATGTCTTCTAAACATTTAAGATTTATCTAAATATACCTCAAAGTACATGATATCAAGTTGTCTTTATCTTAAAATAGTGTACTTGATTAAATTTGGTGATAATCTTTCACAACTTTCTTTTGTACAATCACCTCACCAGTTACTCGTTTGGTAAGAGAAGATAAAATCAAATAGACTCATTATCCGTTAGACGAAAGAGAAACCTATTCGTCTCTCAATGAAAGAATCAAGTCTTTCTTTATATAACAGTGACGTGACACTCTTGAATAGTGCATCACAAACTTTTTTTTATATAATAGTGCATCGAAGAAGCTGGTTCTTGTTGTTCTTCTCAAATGGAGTACATCTCTCAGTTTATAAGTCTTTCTCTTTTATGTCGCAACTTCATTTTATCTTTCTTTTAGAATCTTAGAGATTTTATTATTATTGTTATTTTTATTATTTTGAGGTTTGTGATGTGACATTAATAAATAGTGCACATCACAAAGAATTTCTTTTTTATATTTTATTTATCACATCCATCGTCTCCGAAATGGTTTCATGCTTATGTTTGGTATATTGGTGGATGAAATAGATATTAAGACTCCATATACTTCACAATACTAGTTGAGAGAATGTCTTCTTAACATTTAAGATTTATCTAAATATACCTCAAAGTACATGATATCAAGTTGTCTTTATCTTAAAATAGTGTACTTGATTAAATTTGGTGATAATCTTTCACAACTTTCTTTTGTACAATCACCTCACCAGTTACTCGTTTGGTAAGAGAAGATAAAATCAAATAGACTCATTACCCGTTAGACGAAAGAGAAACTTATTCGTCTCTCAATGAAAGAAATGAAAGAATCAAGTATTTCTTTATATAACAGTGACGTGACACTCTAGAATAGTGCATCACAAACTTTTTTTATATTTTATTATTTGTCACATCCACTTCCTCTCAAGTGGTTTCTCACATATGTTTGGTGTAAGTGGATAAAATAGAGATCTGCCTTCAACTATTTGACGATGCTAGTTGAGAGAATGTCACCTAAACATTAAAAATTTCTCTATATATACCTCCAAATCCAAGTGCATGATATTACGTTGTCTATTATCTTAAATAGTGTATTGATTAAACTTAATGATAAACATCCACAACTTTCTTTGTACAATCACTTCGTTGTACAATCACTTTGCCTGTTACTCATTTGTCACCTATAGTAACTCTAAATTTGTTTCAATTAGAGGGATTCTATGTTGGACCTGTATATGAAAACGAGTTAATCGGTCGCGCTCTACGACGTGTATGAGTATATAACAATTTGATTTAAATTGAACTTATTCAATTGATATAGTGCAACTCATTAATGTATTCAATAAACCTCCAGGTTCGAATCCCTTAAATATTACCTTAATGACAAACAAATGAATACTATATATCACCCTTATTAAAAAAATTATTGTTCACGGTAAAAATGCAAAACAAAATCAAAACTGGATGTGAACATATCAGAGCGAAAATGTTATTAATTCATAAGTTGATACTCTAAACTCACCTAAGACATGAACAAATACTATGTCCTCTCGAGCATTAATACACATCTTACAATGCTACAATAGGTAAATTGACATACTTAATGGCGACCCTTGCTTGAACATCAAGAAAGGTTCCTCTTACATAAATATGTTGAATGATGAGAGTATGTGTGAATAATGATTTATACATACTATGCTAAAGATCATAAGAATGAGATATAGGAACAGTAATGGAAGTTGACCTCGACTTCATCGAATATGGTTATTCTATAATTAAAGGGAGAATCCTTCTAATCAACCAAGGCAAGTCAACAACTATTTGTGACATGTTTTTGACTGAATACATTCAAAACTCAATAACCGTTAACATCTTTATATCTGTATTCTAGAAGTTATACAATGACAACATTGAGAAAGAAATTGTAATCAAGGACTAGCTTGGACTAGAATGGATAAAAACATTAGTTGAGAACACAAACTAGACCTACTCTACGAGCAATTACCACTCCTCAAGCTCTGCAACAGGTCCAAGTATCCCAGGCTTTCAGGGCAAATGTACCTGAAAGTATTCATACGCCCTAAAGTTAGTTAAGAACCAACAACCATCAATCATGTGCATTGATGCTATACTTAGGAGATCAGATATTAAGAAGCTGTCTTAATAGATTCACGGTGAAGAGGTTGGAAGAGATGGAATGAATAGCTCATCATACACTGAACATGAGAAACGGAAGGAAGAGCACTCACCCATGTCGGAATAGGAAATCAATGACGACTAGGGAGCAGTTTGGTTTGTAAAAATGAGTCCTCCTTACTATATGTGCAACACTTCCCACGGGCATCAAGTTGAAACCCTCAACTTCTCCATCTGTCCCCAATTTAGAGACCCCGTTACAAACATAATCAAAGAAAATACTGAATGAATATGAATGGTAAAATGCAAAGAACTATATGAAGGCACTCTAACCTTGATTTTTTGGTACAAAACTTTCAGGTAGCTTCAAATCGTAGCAAAATAGAACATCTCTCTTGAACCTATCGCCATCAATATCCACATAAGAAACGACACCAACTAGCAGAGCCCTGTGATAGAAGCAGTAACCAAAGCATTGTCACTCAGGAGAATATCAGAAACGGAATTAAAGTTACTACGTAAACAATAAACTAGGAATTGGAGACCATACCAAACTTACTTGACAGAAATCGATTGAGGTATTCCTGCTTCTTCTTCACATTCCTTCACGACATTTTCTTGACAAGATATTCCATGAGGCTGAAATTGCCACCATGAAAACTTATGCACTGACTCAGCAACATATGGGGATAGTAAGACTTAGACTGATCTAAATTTTGACCATGTATATTTTGATTATTTTCACACTCTTTAGTTTGCAAGACTAAAATGAACCTCTCAAGTCTCAAGTATCTAATTCACATTTCCCTCCAGCAAACTGAATATCCCATCATGCACTCAAAGATCACTGCAACTTATCTTCCTAGTGAGTGTTCTTCATCAGAACCCGGAAAAGAACCTAAAGGAGACAAGATCACAATTCCCCTAGAGCGCTGAAAGGACCATGATAAATGTGGAAGGCACACAGTGTTCTGAAGTGGTAATTGGTACAAAGGATTGATAGACCCAATTAGTGGATTAATAGAGAGGCACTGCGAACCAGTCCTCCGGCAACAAGATGATCCAGCATCCAGGGTAAGTAGGTTTCACTAGACTTCTCTTTGCTACCCACAACAATTTTTCATCACCACTCTCCACAAAGCCATTCATATGAATGCCATATGCCTGCGCAATAAAAGCACAACCCATAACTCATTAGAATAAAGGAAAGAAACCCAGCAAACAAACCACATTGATACCTCCAGAACACAAACCTTTATCCCGAAATACGGAGCAGCAACACGCTCTAATGAGAAGTAGACTCGCCCACCAAACAATGAAGTAACCGGGTAGAGCTGATCACCAATCAAAACCATTAACACTCAGCCAATGATATCTTCATTTCACAATTTCTCACTTTCAAGACCTCTCGAAATTGTATTCCACCAATAAGAATGAGAGCAGTGTTACCTCACCTTGTATACCTGGAATTAGCTCTTCTTGTTCTTCTACCAAGCATTTGATGACTTCCCCAACAGCTACAGTCCTCTCTTCCGGCGTGCCTAGCTTGTCATGTAAAGTAACGCAATACCCAAATCGGGCTCCATGGGAGCTGCTGTCCTTGATCACGAACACTTCCTCGAACCGCTTCAAATGTTCAACGAAACTATGAACAATACAAAGACCATCTCAAGTTGAATGAACAACGTACTCGATGCCTCGATTACAAAATTCCAGAAGAATGAGAATTAGGTTTCTGTATACTCACCGGTTATGAATGTAGCCGATTGTGTCTCCTCGATCACGAATGGAACGAATTCGAATCGCATTTCCTGCAACAAAATTTCCGTCTCACATTTCCGGGAAACCAAACTGAAATTCGAGAAGGGGAAAAAATAGATTTTCCAATTAGAGAGCCGCGATTGCAGAACTTGATCTTCTCGAAGAATCCAGAGAGATCAGAGGAATCCCCGGGGGCGTATTCAGGTTGAGAGGCTCGGACGGGGTCATCCCAAGTGAAGATGCTAGTCTCGGGAGTGGCGGTGGAGGAGAGAGCTGAAACGGAGGGGAAGCCGGAGGATTGCGCCGCGTGAGCGGAGAACCGGAGCGGAAACGGTGTCGTCTGGGGACTGATTGAACGAGAAATTGGCGGGACTCCGGCGACGGCGCAAATTGGAGGGAAGGAAGAGCAGAATCTGTTGGGTAGGAGGAAGAGGGAATTGAGAGCCATTGGAATGCGAGCGACTGAGTGAGTTCGAGCAATGGCGAAATTCTGAAGGCGGGAGCAAACTTCGGACGAGCACGGAGCGGGCAGAGTAACAACGTCATTTGACAGTTTGGTGGTAGATATGGCGGCTTCCGGTTGGCGTAACAAATTCACACGGTCACACCTTAACTCATTAAGGCCATGTTTGGATGTGAATCTTTTTTGTAATTTTTTTCATTTTCAAAATACGGGGTTTTTTTGCAGGATTGTTTTCTAGTAAAATGCATGAAATAAGACATTAGGATGACAATCAGTCAATTCGATTTTCCAAACAACGATCTGAATTGTATTGAGATTGATATCGAGTTTGATTTGATCGATTCTCAAAATTTTGAATATTTTTTGGTATTAGATTCTATGTAATCCTTGAAAATAAAGAGTTAAATGAAACCAATCAAAGTAAATATAGATCCAATTGAATGTTGTATCAATTATGATTCTAATTGATACTCCCTTTTTTAATCCTGTGATACCAATTTCATCAATCACTAAGGATATTGGCACCTTATCAAACTAAAAGACATCTTCAATTATTTTCAATTTTAGGGTTGATAGACAAATGTTACCTTTCACCTACGGCCTACCTGATCCTATATTTCCAATGCTGGTATCAAATTATGAAAGATTCACAGGAAATGAAGAAAATATACTTTTAAAAGTCAAGGTCGTTGCCACTCCGTGCCTCGCAGCGTCGTCGGTTCTCCTCCTCCTCATCCTTCTTCGCCATTCAATCGGAGCCGGCGTTCTGTTCGCATCGCTTGTCAGGCAATGTCTTGCTCGTCGTCTTCGGAAACTTCCGTTCCCACTCTCAGAACTGTCACCATACCGTACTCGGAACTCAAGGTAAGCGTGCGTCTCCTAGTTCTCTGTTTGGTTGCTCTGAAAACGTAGAAGAAATTAGGAAAACTAGAGAGGATTTGAACTTGTGCCCGTTTGATCAGGCTTTATAATAAAATTTAGCGCGGTTTTGGTTTCTTCTTGGATTTGCCGCCTCCTCTGTGAAGGATTGAAGCTCGACAAGGATGGAACGTTGAAGCTTATGTACATTGTTGTATTCTTGTTTCAGTAGTTTTTATTCTAGGAATTGAATCCGTTAAATATGTATGGAGTTTTTTTCTTTCTGCTGTTGAGCTGAGGCTGGCTTTTGAGGTTTAACCTGTTGTTGTACATATAGTTTCATTTGATGATCAATCTTTATGGGTTGATGAGGATTCAGGAGAAGGATGTAGACCTGTCGAGTAAGATAGAGGAAGGCTTTGGACCAAATGGGTTAGGGATTCTGTCAATTAAAGATGTAAGAGTAATGCTTTAACCGGTATCTATCTTGTTCGGGTTATATGCTTGCTGTATCTGGACAGCACAAAGCTCAACTTCATTGGCTTGCTTGAATTTGAATTTCTTGGTTAGGTCCCAGGTTTTTCTCCATTGCGTTGAAATCTTCTACATCTTTCTCCCAAGTATGGTACATCGTCCTCTCAGTTTGTCTGCTTATTTGTACTCAATAGGCTTCAATTTTCTATCTTAACTTTGCTATAATGGTCGTCCCTTATCAGACTAGCTAGCCTTCTAGATGAAATAAAGAAGGAACTTGAAGATCCAAGTACTAGGTAAAGCTTTATGATTCTTTACTCCGCCGTCTCGGGAATATGCCACTGAGCTGAAGATTGTAGTTCATATAGCCTCAATTTGTATAAGTGCATACACAGTCAATGACCGGATAGACGATTAGGTTTCATCATTTGGCATCTCAATTCCTTAATTAGTTCTTGGTGTCATGTGGGCCCTTTCATGCTTGTTGTGACTTGTGATGAATTGAATGCATACTTCAAGTTTTGAGGTGCTGGTTGCTAAACTTCCAGTTCCTTTCCCCTGAAGTTCAACTGGCTGTTGATACTTGATATTATTGGAACATTTTATATGATTATTATCGAGATAGGTGAAAATGTTACTAGAGATAATAACTTAAGAATTGATATTATTTGTTTCATTCTACTTACCTTTACAAATAGGTACAACTTTGGATGGAGTCATGGGAAATAGAAGCTTGAATCAGGAAAGCCAGGCAAGTTTTTATTAGATTAAATTTAATGTTAAGTCATATGGTTTCTGCAACTATATCCTTCAACATGATCGCTAATAGGAAATCCAGTTGTCAAATTACCATTCACTAACTCCTTTGTGCTTTTCCTTGCAGATGTATTAAAAGGATCCTATTATGCAAATCCAATAATAGACGTGCCTACAACCGATGAACATCTGATACAACGGTAAAGTTCTATGTAACATATTTATTGGTTTCCAGCTGTTTGTCACTGTCTGTTGAGTATATCTACCATTCTGCATGAGTTACATGTTTAAGCCATCCACATGTTTCTCTTTCCATCGACATGAGGTGGACTACCATCCATGCTTGCAAATGCTTTCCATGATGAAATGTTTCTTACTTTGTTCATAATTCTGGTGAATGCAGGTATCCTTCATATTGTGGATCTAATATATGGCCAGTCTGATGAATAAACCATTTGGACTTCTTTCGGATCACTATTTGGATACACTGTTTGATACCTGAATAATTTGCAGTGACGGTTCAAAAGGTGGAGACTCCATGTCCTCGTGGTGTGGATGGCATACAGACCATGGTTCACTAACAGGTGAGCACCCTTTTCAACTTTTAGTGTTTGTATCTCCTTTTTTTTTTGGAACAAATGTGCGTTAGTTTAAGCATTTTCTGGAGTTACTTATTTACTTTCCTCGTCCTCACTTTTAGCGGTTATACACAAATCGAAATAAAGGTTTGTAGATAGCTTTTGTGATCCACTTTTAGCTGTCCAATAGATTTTGAACCTTCTGTACTTTTATTCGTCAAGATGACGGCAGATGCTTGATTGAATTAATCTTTGAATGCCTTAAGTTATGGTCTTCACTCATCGTACTTATCTGATGCTTTCTTCAACTTAATATGTAGGTCTGACCTGTGCACTGTTTAAGAGAGATGGTATAGAAATACCTTGCCCTGATAGTGCTGCTGGTCTTTATATTAGAACACGAAAAGATCAAATTGTGAAAGTACATTTTCTTAACATTAACTTTCCCCTTGCTGCAAATTGATATCATTTCTTTGCATCATTCGATTGCTGAACTTGGTCTTCATGCTAATCACTGGTTATGTGCCTTGTGTAATCAATCAAATGGAGTTTCTTGTTTCTCTCAGCCGTCGTGGAAATTCTAAAGTTAGAGGATTTGTCTATTATTATTATTATTATTATATATACATTATTGATCCATAGAAAGCCACTCATGTTAAAAAGAACATGAGATATATGAATGTGAAGAATGCAAGCTAAGCTGCTAGTCCAAAACAATAATGAATCTTCATGGAGCAATTGGCTCTTTAAAAACTGTCATGCCATGTTATAAGTGAAATTTATGAAAACATTTTTCTTAGGATTTTAACTAATTTATAAAGGAGCTAAGGGAAGGTAAATTACAGTATATATTCCATGTCAATGAGTGCCGGTTCTGTACAGTATATATTCCATGTCAATGAGTGCCGGTTCTGATTCCACTTTGTGAAACTACAATCCACATAATTAATTCCAGAATTAGCTGTGTGAATAAGTGAAGTTCTTCATTTCTTAGAAGCACTTGTCTTCATTTCTATAGTCATTGGATACACATTCTTCTGTTCTTTTTCCCGTCTTCTTCTTTTTCTTACATAGACTTGTTTGTCTCTCATGATTCAGGTTGTGTATGGAGAAGATGAACTAGCTTATCAAATTGGAGAAACCACTGAAATACTCTCGGGAGGCTATCTCTGTGCAACTCCTCACTGCGTTCGGGTACTTCCTTAACCCCCACATTATTTTTGCACAACAGCAGAACTGAGTGAGAACCCATATTCCATTTTATCTGTAATGCACGTCAAGGGCAGTAAGTAACCCTTTGTTGGCTTGAAGACTGTGAGCTTTGTTCTTAGGTCATGACCTCAAATTTCTGTTTCTTCTACATCACGGTAGGGATAGCATAACAAACATACATGACAGACTTAAAGGACAATGCAAGCTTTTTTTTTAATTTAATTTTGCCTACAATGCCATTTCACTTAGTTGCTTTTTTCGCTGTGATTCAGGCACCTAAAGGAGCAGCAACTTCTAATGCCGACCGATCAACGTTCGCCTTATTCATAAAAGAGTTAGAATAAGACACTTTGTTTTACGTAGTGTTTTAATTATTGCGGAATGCTTATGTAACACGTTATTTGATTGACACATAAGAAATAATTATCCCTCAAACCTTTAAAGTTTAATGTAATATATTTTTATAATTGTTATAGAACGATGCTACGTAATCATTTGTAATGTGTGGTTTAGTAATAAAATCAAGTTACAGGTGAGTCTTACATTTGATTACTACATAAGATACTTTACAGAACTTGCGTAATGCAAATTAATGAGATGATGAACATTATAGTTAATTATTAGGTTTACGTAATGTATTTATAATACGTAAATCTTCCGTAATCTGGAATGAAAAAAATAATGAGATACATGTCTAAAATCTTATGGACAATTTGGGTGGAGGAGAAGATAAATAAAAAGTTACATAAATAAATGACTTGGGGAACACAAGTTTATGGTAAAATCGGATAAAAAGTATTAAAAAATCCAGTTAACAATACCATATACAAAAATGGCTAATACCACTGGAAAACCCGAATCATCAAGAAAGTGTCACTTGTATCCCAAACTATTCAATATGACATTTATGTCCTGAACTATTTTTCCGTTAGTGTTTACCAAGTTTAACCGTCAATATTAAACAAAAAATTCAGTCAGTGTTAACGTGGCATCCGATATGGAATTTTAAATATTAATTTTCTTTATATTTTTCATCTAAAATTATTAAAATAAGAAAAATAATAAAAATAAGAAGTTACAAAAATTCCCAAATCTTCTCAATCGCTC